GCCCGACACATCTCTCTCTGTCCGCCCACCGTTGCGGCGCGCCGGTTCTTTTGGTGCTGTTGTTACCACCTCGTGGTCTTAACATTGATTTTGTTTTGGTGCCGTCTCCCTGGAGGATCCGAGCCATCGTCTCAATTCCATCGTCTCAATTTGCAAGGGATTACGTACCACACCGTTCCGACGAAAGCTGCAGCTGCTAACCAGGTCGTCATATTTTGTATTTTTTTTTCTTTTGTATTATATATATACACCATTGTTTTTTTGGTGTGTATTTGTGTGTATTTTTTTTTGTATTGTTTATATTCTGATTAGTTCCGGGCGCCCTCATTATAACGGGCTCGCTATATTTAGCCCTTATTATTCGTGTATATTGAACATTTGTTTAATTTATTATATATTGTATGCGCATGACGCTATGAGTTGACGTGTTATCGTCATTTTGTACCAGTCGGTACGTATCCTTCCCCCCTATCTTCAACACGACGCTAGTCGGTGCAGCAAACTGCAATTATATAACGTAAGTGCTGCTTCGGCGAACAATAGACAATAGTATATGTATTTTAAATTTTAAGTTTAATTTTCTGTACAATTTCTGTGGAAAACTCTTTCTTATAAAATAATATGATTTATAATCAAGATAAATTATGAATATTTAGTAACAATTAAAAAACAACATAATTATTTTTTTAAATAGATATTTGTCAATTGGTACATGTTTCAAAGCTCTGAAATTCGACTTTCATATTGGGAAAAGTACAATTGCAGAAATTGTAAGAGAAACTTGTACAATTATTTGGACAATTTTGCAGCCTGTAGAAATGCCTCAACCTGCTACAAATCAATGGCTTGAAATAGCAGATACATTCTATTCAAAGACAAATTTTCCAAACTGTTTGGGAGCTATCGACGGTAAGCACATCAGGTGCAGAAATCCTCGAAATTCAGGATCATATTATTTTAACTATAAAAAATATTTTTCGATAATTTTAATGGCTGTGGTTGATGCTAACTTGAGTTGTGTGGTAATTGTTGTTGGAGGTTATGGAAGAGAATCGGATTCAAACGTATTCAAAGAATATCCATTTGGCAAAAAACTATATTCTGGTCAGCTTAATATACTGTAATAACGCAAAAAATCGGTACATGATGAAGATAGGAGATTTGTTTTATCTTAAATATGTATTATATATATATATGATCTAATCATATATAAGTACCAATTTTTTACGTAGTTACCTTCCTCCTGATCGTCGGAGGGTTCACGTAATTGCACACTATGCGCAACCTATGTGTCAGATTTGAAATATTATTATGATATTATTTATTATAAACATGCACCTTACCTGGTATATATGTATATATCTGTGTTATGTATATATATTATATGTACTGTGAAGTTGTAATGAAACGACGCNTTAAAACTAATAAAGTATAATATTCTCATTTAAATCTAAAACGTGTGTTCTTTTTATTAATAATCTATTAAACAACATTTGACTATCACCCGCTACACAGAGAACGGTTTTCAACAAATTGACGTCTACGGATACAACCAGAGACGCAATATAAAATATAACACAACACCACAGGCATATGCGGTGGCGTTCATAACATTGGTCAAAACTTTTTAAATTCATATAGACCTCACAGGGATGTCGCTGTTGATGAAGCTATGGTAAAATTCAAGGGTCGAAGCACTCTGAAGCAGTATATGAAAGATAAGCCAGTAAAAAGGGGTTACAAGTTGTGGATGTTATGTGATAGTTCTGGGTACAATTTAAAATTTGAAGTGTATACAGGTAAAAAAGAAGGGACAGTTGAAGCTGGTCTTGGAGGTAGGGTAGTACTTGATTTATGTAAGGAATTGGAAAATAAAAATCATGTGGTATATATGGACAACTTTTTTTCAAGTAATATACTTTTTGAAAATCTGTTGACTAAAAAAATATATGCGTGTGGAACTGTTAGAGCTAATCGAAAATTTCTTCCAACACTTACAAAAGACAACCAGTTGCAAAGAGGCGAATATGATTGGGCAACAAGCAATAAGGGATTGGCTTTTTATAAATGGAAAGATCGAAAAGCAGTTCATATATTATCTTCTCTTCACTCACCAGATGACAAAGTATTTGTCAACAGGAAAGAAAAAGATGGAAGTACTTCTAAAGTTCCATGTCCTTTAGCATTGAAGGAGTATAATTCAAATATGAACTTTGTTGACAACTTTGACCGTCTAAAAAAAGATTACCAGTGTGATAGAAAAAGCCATAAGTGGTACATGAGACTGTTTTTTCATTTTATTGATTGCTGTGTTGTCAATTCATTTATTATTTACAAAGAATTGGATACAGAAGGTAAAAAATTAACTAATAAAAATTTTCGTAGAGAGGTTTACACAGGCTTATTATCTAGAAAATTAGTTGATGTGCAATCCCCATCCATAGTTAAAAAAAGAACTAAATCCAATATTGAAATCAGCAACCATAAGCCACATGTCTCAAAACATTTGAGACTTACTGAATCTAAACATCAACCAACTGAAGGCAGTAGTAGAAGGTGTGCGATGTGTTCAACTAAAAAAAAACCACAAAGAACAAAATGGATTTGTTCTACTTGTAAAGTTCCTTTGTGTATCAAGAAAGAAAAAACTTGCTTTCAAGATTATCATACAAAATAATTTATATTAAATTAAATTTTTTTTTTTTATGAGTTATCTATTTCAAAAGGGTATAAATTTATTTTATTTTGAGTTATCTATATTGCTTCAGTAATTTTATCTTGTGTTTTTATTATTATTATTAAAAAAAGGTTTTGTAATTGTTTTTCAGAAATATCTGGACTTTATATAATATTATTTTGTTCTTTTATTATTAATAATATATATAATAAATATATCAATTATTAAATGGTATACAATATTCTAGTTCTTTGTTAGTTGGAGGATTCAAATATTCTCTTATATCCTTCTTATGGTACTTATATAATGTTTTATTGAAGTTAACAAGTATAAGTTTGGATTTGATAATATTTTATTCAAAAAAGCCTTTTATTTTGGCGGTGGTCACTATAAGGACCACCTTTTCCCAAGTTTTTCTGGAAAAACTGCCAACTCAAAAAAAATGTAGTCAACAATATTTTAGTTAAATGCCAGAATAAAAGCATTTAAAAAAAAAAAAAATTAAAAAAATTCATTTTGACACATATTGCCCAAATGGGTTTTTTTTCCAAAAGAAATTTTCGCCCCTCAAAGAGTTACTCACTATCCACCCCCTTTTAACACTGACAATATTTCAATCATTCAATAATTATTATTATTCATAATGTAACCTAAGTTCCTAACACATTGTTTCATTCTGTGGCACTACGAAGTGACGGTATACAATATATATGTCGCATCCACATCGCGTTATTGTACATTTCACGAAATGGACAACGTTTGCATCCATTTCGCGAAATGGAACCGTGGTTTCTCCACTTCACGTAATTACACAATATGGATGATATTTCGTGAAATGGATACTTAAACCATCATCGACGGAACTTGTTCCGTCATTTGGATGTCCATATAGCAAAACTTAAAAAAACTCTAATTTAATTATTATTTTTAAGTAAATGTTTTACAAATTGGTACTTTAATACAAACTATTATGCTTACTAATTTTTACATATTATATTTAATGTTTTACAAATATTATAATATTATAATACTTTAATACAAACTATTATTTATTCAGACAAGTTTGTGAGTTATGGCAGCGAGAATTACATTTTAAATTACCTTTAAAACAAGCACATTTTTTAGTTTGACATTTGCCTTTACAACAACAGCTTAAAAAACCTTGACCTCCAGTTAAAGAAGAGACAATTTCTCTTAATGACATCTCTTTTGTCTTATTTACTTTCTCGATGTCAATGAAATTTGATGTGGCTGGTTGTATAGTTCCAGGACCATACCAACCTTTCAGTATGCCATGTTCAGTTCCTAAATGGTTAAGGTCATTTTTTTGGCCAATCACTACTCCAATAATGTTGGCTGGGTCTGCAGGACCTCTATCCA